CGCTGCAGGTGCGGGCGGAGGCCGGCGGGGGGCGCCGGGGGCGCTGTGCTACGCTGGGTGGCAGGGATGCGCGGGTGGTGGGGGCCAGGATGCCCGCCGTTGAGAAGCCTGGGCGCTGTACCGCCAGACACAGCGAGGCGCCCCCCGCCCCTGGCAAGCTTGGCACCGCCTCTGCCACCTGCTGCCAAGTCACCGAAGGAGAAAGTGGAGGAGGCTGTAGAGGCGCCTCAGGTGACAGAGCAGATGCACCCAAAAAGATACCCGAAGCGGTTTAAGACTAAGCAGGGCTCTTTTTGCGATTTTCTTGGGACCCCGTTTTGCATCGTGTAGAGCCTGGCACTAGGCTGGCTCAAGAAGAAGCTCTTTGGCAAAGAAACATACTGTGGGGTCCCTAGCGGGTCAGACTCTGTCCTGTGGAGTGAGAAGCTGGATTCGAAGGACACCAGAAGGCAAATGCAAGGAGACGCCCTTCTCAGGAACCAGGCAGAGTGCCAGCAACTCCTAGACAGGAAACTTCCCAAGCGCAACTCAGTCATGAGACTCAGAGAAAGGTTGGGGAAAGTGACTTCTAGACACTGACTAGACAGGGCCAAGGTGAACCCCAGCACTTTGCAAGGACCAGCCCAGCTGTCTAGGAGACATTTCCCACAAGCTCCATCTTCAAAGGGTTTCACTTGAGGTCCTCTGTTGGAAGGCATGGCTGAGATCCCATAGGGAATTTATCATCCACGGCTGCTTGTCTTTCTAAGAGAACCAAGGCCCCGGCAATAGCTGGAAGGCAGAGACAACCCAATAAACCACTTGTGGCCATGGTTACTGTTGAAGAAAGAGCTGGGCATTAAAACATAGGCTTCTCTGCCCCCAGGAGAGAAGTTTGTGGTGCCTCTTTTAAAAAGAAAGGTCGAGCTGACCGGTTCTGGGGGCCAGCGAAGCAAATTAGCCTTTGTTCTCACGCTCAGTTGCAAGGTCAATTGGCCTGGCACAGTTGAAGTAGTTTCTAAGTGTTTGCAAAGCCATTCTTTCTTCCTGTTTCCACCTAGCTACAAATACCATGAAACCTTGCTCCTTTCTCGGGATAGGATTCAATAGTCACTTGTCCTTCTTTCACCCCTAGTCCCTTAAGAGACTCCCTTGAAAGTCCTGGGGTGTGTTCCCTGTGTTCCCAATGTTGCACAGACGATGCCAGCACCTCCACTGCCACTATTCAAATCCTACTTTCAATGATTAAAGATGACATGACTCTATCCAAACTATTTACATGAGCTGTGGGCTGGAATCTGCTTTATAGGTCTGTTGTGATTTAAAGAAACAAGAAGTCAGGGCAAACATGACTTCAGGAGAGGGGAATGAAAACAGCTGTGAGGGCAGCTTGTTTGGGAACACTGAGGAGGCTGCTGTGGTTGGAGTGGAGAGGACGGTAGAGTAATGGGATGGAAGAGCCAGAGGAGTAGATCACACGCAGTGTAAACATCTATTAAGTATATAAAATTCTAAGTAGTGTACGCGCCTCACGTTCTCCTAACAAGCCTCCTCTCTGTCCTTCTGAGTTGACTCTACTATTTTATTCTGGTCATGTGGCATCCCAGGATTTCAGCAATCTCAGAGCAAGTCTCCAACTAGCAAGCCTTTCCATAAACAATCACAGCTCTCAATCTGCAAAGAATCACTCATGCCTCTCCAGCTGTAAACTTCAGTTTCTCTCGACTGACTTCTAAAACTACCTTCGTGTGTGAGGTAGGAAGCAGCTGGCTGGGCTGGAGTCTAAGCGTGTGTCCAACGCGAACAACTTAACCTTTCTCAACTCAAAACTGTGGAGCATAGTAGTGCCTGCCTCAGTGAGCTTCTGGCAAAGATGAAATGAGACAGAAATGCATGGCGTGCTCTGGATGGTGCTGGAACATAGTAAGGGTTCAAGGAGACAATAGGAAGAGAGTTCCCATCATCGCCATTGTCATTACCATCGCCACACTGTATCCTGATGAAATCAAAGAAAATTAAAGAACCAAAACGTGTTCTAAAACAAATTTGCTCTCCTTATTTGCACCATGAGAAATTTACAACTCCTTTGCCATCTGTAAAATTCAGAGAATATTTTGTGCATGTTTGTGTTGATCCACTTCTCAAGATCTGTTAGTGAGGATTAGTCCCTGGGGTCCTTCTATGTTTACATCTGGACTAGCTATAAATAAGGCAGCAAAATCATCTAAAGTGGACGCTATACTGGGAAAGTTGCAATATATTAAGCTTCCAAAATATTTGTGTGGGAATTTGGTTACTGTAACATTCATGTCAGATGTTTTTATAGGAACTCTTAGTCTCTGACAAAGTAACACAGAAAAATTCTCCTTTACTGCCACTGGTTTTAAATTTACTTCATTTTATGTGTATAAGGGTCTTGCCTGCATATATGTCTGTATGTGCATCTCAGGTATGCCTGGTGCCTATAGAGTCCAGAAGAAGGTATTAGATACTCTGGAAATTCAAATGGAATTGCAGGTGGTTGTGGTGGTCTGCCCTGTGGGTGCTAGTATTGGAGTCTACATCCTCTGCAGGAGTAGCCAGTGTTCTTAAGCACTATGCAATCTCTCTAGTTCTGTTCGCTGACATAGGTACTGTCACTTTTAGTACTTAGCTAAAAGGGCTGTCTTGCTCATTCCATCCTTTATTGGCTCTTCAAATGTCCCAACTGTAGGAAATCTTCATCCTCTGAAGCTATAGTCATCATGGCCAGTCTTTAAAACTCAATATATGCATAAAGATTCCTGTTTTTCACTGCTAACTCCAGATTACTCTTCATGTTGCATGTGTCTAGTCTGTGGTGCCCTCTCGGGATCATATAAAAACCAGGGACGAAAATCATAAGTAAACTATGTGCCAGCCATTGACCTCAGATTTACATGAACATTGCTTCATTTAATCTTTACAAAACTCTATTGGGCCATACCTATTTTTTTTCTATAAAGTCACCAACCATATCTCAGCTTCAGTTCTCCATCTGTTATAAAGGAAAATGTGAAAATCAAATAAGATAATAAAATGAAATCTATTTATAAACCAAGGAATATTGCCGGAGTATCCAGGATGACTTTATTGTGCTTTGAACTATTACTGCCCATAACTTACTGGTTATTTCTGAAAGGCCCCTACAATTCAGCACAGCTCTCCTCTGTTCACCAGGGCTTATGCAATAATAGTAAAACTGAGAGCATTTAATGTTGATTGAGTGCTTACTATGCACCCTGCATTTTATTAAAACCTTCATACCACTGCATCGCTCCACACTAAGAAGGAACGTGTTCTATAACTATTTTGTACTGATTGAAAAACAAACCGAAACTCACAGACATTAAGTTGCCCGAGATCAGTCAACTCTGAAGAACCGCAGCTGAGGGTTGACACTGTACTCATCTCTTGACAAACCTGGGGCTGTCAATCACTTCCAGATGGTCCTCAGATGCTAACATATATAAGAATCACACAGGCACTCGGTGCACTAACTACTCCAGCCTTGATCATGGAGTCATTGAGTTGGGAAAGAAGTCTGAGGCTGTCCCTTACATTGATACATTTTATCTTGTAGAGCAGTTTAAAGTGCTTGGAAAATCAACAGAAACTTATAGCCCCTTCCATAGAGCCTTCCTTCCGAGATTTTCCCAATAACGCCTTGAGGTTTCTCTGCTACAGTTCAGAACTGACAGGTCAACAGCGCAGTGCATTTTACTAAAGTCCAAAGTTTATTTAGGGCTTGTGAGTTTATAGGAAGAGAGATATTTCTCAGAGAGAAAGCCAGGTGAAGATAAAGTGCCTTTCCGCACAAAGAACTCTACTTTACAGCTTGATCTGGGGCTCACGGCCCATAGAACTGGAAAAGAATAAACCACTGCTGCTTAAACTACTCACTCTGAGATTTTGTTGTTGTTGTTGTTGTTAAGACATGTCACCAAATCACAAAACCACAGCCTGGGATACTGTGTCTTCATCCTCGTCTGGGGTCTGGTCATGAATTCAGTCTGACTTAGACTCTTGAATCTTCCATATCCTATTTACCAACACCCTCAGGCCCTTCCACGTACATCAGTGTGCTGCAGGGACAAAGCTGCAGAAAGCACCGAAGGAACACAGGGCTAATCCTGACCCTTCTGTGCAGTGAGTATGTGCTCCACCTGATTGTTCACTGTGGCTGAGAAATGGAGGCAGATGAGATGTTATTAGCCCCACTTTGCAGATGAAGAAAATGACCCCCCCCCCGGCGATTAAGCAACTTCCTTGAATTTCCATAAGGCACATGACACACAACCAGGTCACCAACTTTCATCACCTGACATCTTTCAGCACTCGGTTCTGTAAGTCTTGCCAACTTTATATAAGCTGGCATGCGGCCAAATGAACTGTAATTCTCTGAGCACTGAAATTCAGACTTGGCTTGCAACTCCGGCATGCAGGGTAAGTCCATATTAAAAATGAAAAGTTATTATCTCACTGAATGGCATTTCTCCTGCCTTGTGAACTTGAGCAAATACACCCACTACAGTCTCTATGTGGCAGTAGAGTGGATTAGGGAATTTGCTGTCCAACAGGGATTTATTTTAGCCATAGA